CCAGCCGCCTAGTGAGTTCTCCTGCCTTCCTCTGGGCTCTCAGCACCACCCCCGGGGCAGGGAGGATAGAAAAAACAGGAATACTCAGTCTTGGCTTATTCTGCCATAGACATGACTGTAATTGGGAAATACCAACCTTGTTGGTTTTTTTGTATGGGGTCCTGAGGTACTTTATTGCCTCATTAGCCATCAGTTTCCAGAGGCAAACATCCCTAACTGGATACCCAATCAGGAAACCCTTACCTGGACTCAGCCTTTGTGAGGAAATTGCTGGTTCCTGTGTCCCTGTCCTGTTTATTCAGACAGGGGAATTAAGAGTGGCCGAGCAAGTTGGCATACAACATGGTAATTTACATCATCTATCTCTTTCTGGCTCTCGGGCCTCTGGCAAATTGCATGTCTTTGTGTTGGATTAGTTTGGAATTTAATCATGCATTATTTTCCTTCCAATTAAATTATTTATATATTTGATTAACATCACTGTTAGGAAGTCAAATTTTCAATGAAACCACAAGTAAACTGACGCCCATTGAATTTCAGGCCTGTTTCACTTGGGATCAATCTGTCTGCTGAATGTTAAGGCTTCATTGTGCGTTATTCTTCTTAGCTACCATGGATTTTGGTGAGAAAGCATGTAGGCATTTTTGATCCAATCCTAGAGAAGTGATACAGATAGTGAGGTATATCTAACCTCTCTCCCTCCCTTGTTGGACTCCCTGTTTTGGTTCAGAACCTTGAGTTTTATTCCTTTCTAAGGTCTTTTCTTGTCCCTGGCACTAAAACACACCTCCATCTAATTTGTTTTCTCAGACTTTAGAGTTAGCCTTAAAAATGTTAACATAGGAAATCATCTAGTTTGGGATTGAAAAACCTATGTGGCCCACAGGTTGGTTCCTTCCCACTGCTTGTTTATGTGTAGCTCATGGGCTAAGAATAATTTTTAAGGTTTTAGATTATTGAAAAGATATTTTAAGGAATATTTCATGATATGAAAATTTGCATATCCATAAATGAACAACACACTGTTCATTGCACGTTGCGTGTAACTGTTTACAGAGATCTTTTGGCCAGAAAGCCTAAATATTTATTATATGGCTTCATACAGGAAAAGTTTGCCCACACATGATTTAGTTTATCACCATAATTTTATGAAAATTAATGCTCAAGTAGGTAAACCGTTCTGTCCAAAGTACGTAGCCCATGAGAAAGTGACCTGGGCTCAACTCTGCAGCCCTCCAGTTTCTTAAGACAAAGTAAATATTCAGAGCACATGGATTTGTGAAGACCATGATTTCATAGCATTTTAATTTTCACTGAAAATATGGTTCTTGTAAACATTTTAAGCTTCAGGTGCATTTGCTATCTCCTTATTTCCTCATAGTAATAGAGTACATCCTCTGATTAGCATTTGGTCTATAAAATAGAGCAAGATTGACCTGGTCTCTGCCCTCTTAGGTCATAGGAAATTCTTTAAAGAAAAACAACTTACAGTCTCAATGTAACTTTGAATTCAAGAGCAGTTTTAGAAAAATTGCAAAAAAAAAAAAAAAAAGAATATTAGTTGAGACTCAGGTCTATTCTCAAGGAGCAGAAAAGTGAAAATTCCCAAGATGGTAGCTTGTGAGAGTGAAGTTGCTTTAATTGTCCAATGCAAGTTTCTCTTCATTCCTCCCCATGTGCAGACAACACTAAGGTCCTGCCTGCTGACCAGCTCAAGACGCCTCTGCAGTCAAATTTCCCACACCTTGTCTTAGAGGCCAAGGTACATGAAGTTTGGCAAGATAAAATATGAAATGATTTTGAGGTTGCTCATTTCCAGTTCTCCCTTCCTACTTGCAGGCAGACCCCTCAATACCACAGGAGGCAGATTTCACACTTCCTGGTGGTCACTTTTGATGCTAAACTGTATCCAATTCAGATGTCCAAACTCATGTCCAATCCAGAACCTTCCCCTCCCTGTCACAGGTGAGGGATGCAGCTCAGGGGGACCAGCAGGCTGTTTCCCTTCCTCTGTCACCTCATCTGAAGGAGCCAAGGTGCAGATTGGCCCCTAGGAGGCCTCTTTCTTGCCCCTCTAGAGTCTAGTTCCTCCAGTGTTAGCCCCACAAGACAATAAGGAAAGTCTCTTCCTTTACTGTTCACGCCGCTCACTACTGGTCATCCTGCTCCTCTGAATTTGCTCCAATTACCCTAGATGCCCTCTGTTCCTAGAACATATATGGGTTCTGTCCAGGAGTATCCCCTACAGCCTCACTACTGGAGGTCAGACCCAGCATGCTGCATTTTAGGTGGGCACTGGCCAGCTAGCTCAAGCTTGTCTACCCCAGCAGTGCCCACTTGACCTACAGAAAACTCATGCCTGCTCACCTCCCCAAGCAGCAGCTGTGCCAAAGGCCTGTGTCCACAGGCCAGTTCTCCCTGCTGTGTGTGGGCCTCACCTGATCCTCAAATGCATCAAGTTCTGGCCTTCCACAGATGCTTCTGTGGCAACTGCCCACAGCAGTCTTCCTTTTCTCCACATCTGCACAAGGCTGGTGGGTCTCCATACATCTTCAGGTCCTGCTTTAAATACAGCTTGGGAAGCCAATTCCTGATATTCCACACTGATTTAGAACTCCCTGATAGAGTTTTTATAAAACCCATTATTTCCCTTCACAACACTTATCACAACTATAATTGTACAGTAATTTAAGTCATTATCCATTTTACTCCACCAGACTATAATTTCCTTAGGGCAGATATCATGTCTGCCTGCTCCCCAGTTTGAGCCTGGTGCAAGTAGCACATCCTTATAAATGTGTGAGAGGAAAGGAATGTTGTATTTTTTGTTTAACCCAGCAAGGGGTAGACGGGTATATTTGGATATCTTTCAGAATTCTTAAGAGTATTTTATTTTAAAGTAATGAAATACTTTACATTAAATTCTTACTAAGTACCAGGTGAAATGAGGTTGCATTAATATAAACAAAACTGCATAATATCATTTTTTTTTGCCCGGTGAAAGTTTACTTTGCTGCATCAAATCAGTTCAACAAATATTTGCCAAGTACCAGGACACTGTGACCAAGAATATGAAACTGAAAAGATGTGGCTCCTTACTTCAGAGTCAGCTCTGCACAAATTGTAATCCGCTTTCCAGTTTCAGTTTTTCTTTCTTTTCTCCTCCCCCACTTCCTTCATTTTCCTTTCTCTTTATCTCCCTCTCTGCTTTCCTTCCTTCCTTCTTTCATGTGCTTCATTCCAAGGATCAAACTTATTTATTTCCAGTAACTTGGAAAACTAAACCAAGAGCAATTTTTACAGAATGGTTTTGTGCAATCAGCCATCTCTCTGCAAAAACAAAATTCATCAAACCCCTTGTATTGTATAAACTTAATGTCCAAGCTGGGCTTCAGTACACATTTGAGACAATCCTAGGTACTGTGCACAGGCCATGAAGATGTACTTCAGATATAAATTTAAAGACGGCTTGTTGTCCCCGATCTGCACATCTGTTCTCTTTGTGTGCTTATGTGCACCATCATAACTTTTAAGAAGCACTGATAGCTGGGACTGCTGGCTTTTGATGGGAAACCCACATCTGTTAGCCACGAGGTTCCTGCACCATACTGTATATGAGTGATCCTGTTGGTGTCCCTGTCCTTTTCACAGCTTCCCAGGGATCCTATGTGCTGTCATGTGCTGCTGTTTGTTTTCTGTTCAAAATTTCCAGGAGCTGCTCAAGAAGAGGAAAGCTTTAGAAACAGCATGAAAAAGTTTATTTCTTTTTTTTACATAAAACTTCTTTTACCTAAAGCAGTTGGCCACCTAGTGGAGTAACTGGGAAAGGCTGACTCTGATGGTAGAATACCCTTTGGCCTTTGGAGATCTCATTTTAGGATCTGAAGCATTAGCAGAGAAGTAATTAAATGTTCTATCACTGCCACATAATGCACAGAGCCCAAGGGAACTTTTAATTATTGGGCAAATTTTAAGTGACCTATTTCTGCATGTATTTGAGAAGGTGCTCCCAGCAGCTTTAAATTAAGACAAATAAAATGCAGGATGACCAGAGAATAAAAACAAGATATGAATCTCCCCAATAGTTTAGAACTGGATATTTAAATAGTATACTACTCGGCTCATTGAAATTGACCTTCATTTTATCCCAATGCAGCGCCCCCTCTTCCTCCAGCACTGCACTGGGTTTCTCATGTCTCCCATTTAGAGGGCACTTGGTATGTTTATCCAAGGAACTAGACAGAAAGTGATCCTAAAAACTTGAATTGATGAAGAACTCCAGGGAATTCACTTTCATTTTAAAAACTGAATTAAAAGAATTTTAAAGCTGGAAATGACCTTAGAAGTTAGGGATTCCATTCCTTTAAAAAAAAAAAACATAAAAAATACAAAGACCCTGAGCAAATAAATCATTTGTTGCCCATCACACACTTCTCTTCTTCAGTGTCTAGCTCTTCTCTCTGTGATTCTTATTCAACAATAAACTGCACTGAACTTGAACTAAAGTTTGGTCTGGAAAATGCTTTTGCTTTTCTTGTTCCTTTTTGGAATTGTGTGAGTGTATGTGTACCATGTGTTTGCATGTGGTCTACCCCACCCCCACCAGGACACATTCGGGTTGGAGAACATGTCTGAAGTCCTTTGCCCTTGACTCTCCCTTGGCAGATGAAAAACAACAGAGACCCAAAAAGGACAAAAGCAGCTGGTCAAAAAACTCAAGACTTGAACTCCACTCTTCAGGTGCCAACGTAGTACTTTTTCCTGGGATGCCAGGCATCCTCCCAGTAGTGTCACTGCTGCTGACTAGGAAGCATATGTACACAGTTAGCATTTCTCAATTACCTGAGAAATATATTAACTAGAATGCTTTAAAATCTGTGATTTAGTGAAGTCATTCATGTTAGGATTTAGAATTGGAGTGTGTATTCTACTTCCTTCTGCTGCCTTTGGAAATGAATAATGCATTTCCATTTTGTCTGTTTCTCTTTCCTCACCCCCAGCATATCAATAATGACCATATTCATGGAGAGAAGAAGGAGTTTGTGTGCCGGTGGCTCGAGTGCTCCAGGGAACAGAAACCCTTCAAAGCCCAGTACATGTTGGTAGTGCATATGAGAAGACACACGGGTGAGAAGCCTCACAAATGCACTGTGAGTACACACATAAGTGGCAGGTGGGCAACCCCTGTGTGTCCTTCCTTATACTCTCATGGCAGTGGGGGGATCCTTGCTTACACTCTGCAGAGCTGAGTGTGCTGGCAACTGCATCTCTGGTGTGGCTTGGTCAGGGGATGATGAAAAGAGAGAATGGAGCACTGAGGATAAATACTCAGTTTTTGAGCTACACAGCTAAACAGAACAGCTCTCAAGAATGGTGAGCAAGCAGAAAATGGCTAGCACTGGGAATAAGTCCTTGGCCACCGTGCCTGCCCCAGCCCTGCAGTGCATGCTATCAGGGGACAAAGGAAGATGCGAGCTTCTGATTTAAAAGTTTAAGTTGATGTTTTAAAATGCTACTCCTTGCACAGGTTGAATATCCCTAATGAAAAAAACACAAATCTGAAATACTCCAAGTCTGAAACTCTCTGAGCACTAACACGATGCCATAAGTGGTATGACGCCATACCTAACCTTGTATGGCAATTACAGTCAAAATGCAGATACCCTAAAAATATTGTGTAAAATTATCCTCAGACTATGTGTATAAGGTGTAGATGAAACATAAGTGAATATCTCTTAATATACATGCAAATATTCAAAAATTCAAAAAAAACAAAGGACACCTCTGATCCCAAGCATTTTGGATAAAGGATAGTCAGTCTGTCCTTGGCTTTAGAGTTCTTCCTTGCGCTCTTACTCAGTCCCCAAGGCAAAGTGCAGACCTGCAGAATGGGCCAGGGCTGCCATGGGACTGGGCTTTCTCCCACTGAGGTGCCGATGAGGAGCACTGGCACTGCTTAGCCCTATACTTTACATCTTAAAGGCCCTTCACAAACATGATCAAATTCCCTGTCTTTGTATGAACACAAAGCCATATTAATGAACTTTGTGCTGAATCTGAAATCAGTGGGAATTTGAGGAGATCAATGAGCAGATAATGAAATCCATTGTCCACATTGAGCAGTCTATTTTAAAAAAAAAAAAAAACTTTTCAGGACTTTTACTGGCACTGAAAATGCTTTATCTTGAACTGGCCTGAGCCACATGTGAATTCCAATAAAGGCAGCGTTTAGTGGAGTTTTTGTTCCATGGTTTTGAAAAGCTGCTGACCCTTAAAACGTCAGGTTTTCATCCACTTTGAGGAGGGTTAGACATAAGCGTCGGTTCCTATTGTGTGGAGTAATCCAGATTTACCTGTTGTCGTCAGTTTGAAGGTTGCACAAAGGCCTACTCGAGACTAGAAAACTTGAAAACGCACTTGAGATCTCACACTGGAGAGAAACCATATGTCTGTGAGCACGAAGGCTGCAACAAGGCCTTCTCCAATGCCTCCGATCGCGCCAAGCACCAAAACAGAACACATTCCAATGAGGTGAGTGGCCTCCATGGGCCCACAGCTTGTGAGGGGAAACAAAGAGCCCTCCCAGGGAATGTGCATGGAAGGGCAAGCATGTTCTGGTTTATTTTTTCTTAGCTGTCCCAGTGTGACTGGGCTCTGACCCTGCAGGTGAAGGCTGGGGTCTCAGTGGTGGGGATGGAAACTGGGCCCTATTTGGAGAGTGAGACAGATGAAGAGAGAATTTCATAAACCGCTGGTGAATTAGTTTCGTGTTGTTCAGAACTGCCACCTACTGGTCAGACAGTAGGAACTTTTAACTTGGAGTTTGATTCACTTGCTCTGCCAGGATAGCATGAATCCATGCAAAGGATGGCCCTGTAAGCACCAAGGGTCAATTCAGAAGCAGCACATTGACAGGTGCTCACTGCATAAACAGCAACTTTTATTTGCTTTCTCCAAGCAGTATCTTCAAATGCTTTAGACCAAAGAACACTTACAGAACAATCAGCTGTGATCTAGATACAATTCTCAGACATCCTAAATGCCAAAAGATCTTAGAAGATAGTCTCAGAAACCCATTCCATTATTTAAAATAATATTTTGGGTAAAGTTTCATGGAACTAGATGATTCATGCAGTGTTGGTGATGTGTCTAGATATCTCCTAAAATTGCTGAGAAGCTTAAGAATTAAAATGACTCCAAATTCATTTGGCTTATGTTTTAATGCACATCTGCCTGCAGACCTCCAGCTTCTCCTTGGAGGTCTGGCTCAAATGCTGGCTCCTCTGTAAACCTTCTTGAATGAATCAAGAGATTAGCAACCAGGCTCCCCACATGTGGTGTAGAAATGGGATCGCTAATAGAGTTTGCTAACACAACCATAGGGCAGCCTCACAAAGTGTATCATCACTTTTCTTGAAATGCATTAAAGGGGAGCAATTTGCACACAGAAAATATGGGAGTGTCTGTCACACACTTGCCAGGCACATTCATGGCCTTATAGATAGAGTCGGGAAGAGAATATCTGGTTAAGAAAAACCAAGTGAGCTTCTGTTCAAGATGCCATTTGACTTTAAGATGAGATTTGGTCTTCACTAAGTTTTCTTTTAGCTGAACTGAGAGCAAAACTGCCTCTAAGAGGATTAACCACACTGTCAAAAAGCACTCTCCCTCCAAGCCACACTTACCTGTCCATACACCAACTCTTTTTGAAAAGATCATAGTGCGATAAGGTAGGGTGAGATCTTTGGAATCTCTTAGTATTGAGTAGCTAGGTGAAACATTTGAGAGGAGATGGTACATTCCTGATTTGTTTTGTTTTGTTGTCAAGAATGCTTTTGCTGCGTGAAAGAGCTGTATCATCATCTGTTACATTTGTTTTGTACAAAAATTTAGGGAGTGTAGAATGAAACAATCCGTAGAGACAGAAAGCAGATTAGTGTTTGCCAGCAGCTGGGGGTAGAAGGAAAAGGAGGAACTGCTAATGGTCAGAGGATTCATTTGGGGCTGGTGAGATGCACAAGAATTAGATAGCAGTGATGATTGCACAACATGAAGAATGTACTAGAACAGGCTGAATTATGCAATTTTAAGAAGTTATTTTTCTATGTGAGCTGTATTTCAATTTCAATTTTTACTGGGTGGGTTAACTTCACTTAGAATTTAATTGATATATTTAGCTATATTTCATATATTTAAGCACAAGAGACTGACCTTCTCTCCTATTGTGGAGAAATTCAGAAAATGGATAGCTTAGGGCAGGTAATGCACACATATAACGATACTTCCTGAGCTTTTTTTATCTTTTTATGGGCTTAAAATATGTATACACATCTGTTTGCTTTAATTGTGTTTTTGTTAAGTTATTGCGTTCTTCCGTGAGGCAAAAGCACAGTTTTATAGGGAGTTGAATATGTCATGAGACTAAAAGATAACTTGGATCAGTAATGTTTCTTCACCAAGGCTGAGTGATTCACTTCAATGTTTCACCTTGATCATAAGTACATAATTACATTGGACTAACAAACATGGAAATAATTTTTCTCTGTTCTGCAGGCAGGCTTTGGCCTTGCATATGAAAAGTTGTACAGTTTCAACTTTTCCCAGTCTGTGCAATCAAACCATCCGGGATAAATCAGGGAACTCATTTCCTTTATTTATTTTCTTATTTGTACCATCATTTATCCCAAACAAATATTGAGAGCTAGCTATGTGCCAAACCCTTTGCTACTCTAGGTGTGGCAAGGAATTGAATGGAATTGATCTGGAAGGAAGTAAACTCCCATTCAAGGAAGCCATTCTGACACTTCTGTGTCCACTAACTCTACTCCAGACCCCATAGCTCACATTCCTCCCACAGCTACCACTGAACAAGCTTCCCTGAGCACGGACTCCACTGAATGTTGCTCTCCCAAGACTCCACTGACTTCCACTTTCCCTCTCAGGTTAGATTCCCTAAGTTTGTATCAACAGCCATTCTCACCTTCCAAAGCTGCCCTTCCAGTTCTGACCTCCCACCATCATGACCATGACAAAACCTTCCAGAAGTCTATGCCAGGACCTGCCATGTCATGTTAATATGTGTGAAACAGTCTCACTGCTTAACCTTTGTTCAAAATGCTTCTTCTTTTCCTCATTTTTAATCCCTCAAAATCTTATCCTCCTTTCAAGGCCCAATTAAAATGCTTCCTCCTCATAAAAGTTCCACTTATAGTGCTCACTGTGTGTCATACATTGTGGAAAGCACTTTTGGATATGGTCTTATTTGACACTTACCACAACTCCATTAGGTGAGCATTAGACCAGATATAGAACCATAGTTACTGATGCCTAAAAGGATCCCAAGTGAAAAATGATTCCTCCTTTGTCACACTTCATATTGTAGATAATTACATGGTGTCTTGCTTTTCCTGTCAGGAAATTAAATTTTGTATACAAAGTACAAGGATTACATATTAAAGATTTTATATTACTCAAAGTTAAATTCTATGCTTACAGAATCTTGTATAGTAGTTATCATTAAATGTTTATTTAACCATCTTCGCCAGGTGTAGTAGAATATGCTGATAATCCCAACATGCCAGAGGCTAAGGCAGGAGGATAGAGAGTTCGAGGCCAGCCTGGACTACATAGTAAACCCCTGTCTCAAAAAAAAAGTAACTATTTGTAGAAGTTCTACAATGTGTAGAAAATGTGTAAATTGCTTTCATATGTAACTATTAGTGTAAAATGATTCAAAATGTGTCATTTTGGTAAATAAATCAAATTTGGTGAATGAATCAAAATTGTAATGAGTCAAAGCAGTAACAATCAAAATGGTAACAAACATTCTAATAACGATAAAAGTTAATAAATACCTAGGACACGAAAAGCAAGCAACTCGGAGAACCAAAATTGGTAGAACACACCTGTGCTCCCAGGTACTCAGGAGGTGGAGATGGAGGATTGTGATTCAAGCACAACCTGGACAAAAGTTACTAAGTTACTAAGACCCTATCTCAAAAACAAGCCAAGTGTGGTGGTGTATGCCTGTGGTCCCTGCTACCCTTGAGGCAGAGGTAGAAGGATTGCAGTTCAAGACTAATCTGAACAAAGTTGGGTTGAGACTCTACCTGAAAACAAACTAAAAGCAAAAAGGACTAGGGTTGTGGCTAAGTGACAGAGCACTTGTCTGGTGTGAGGCCCTGAGTTAACACCCCAGTGCTACAAAAAAAAAAAAAAAAAAAAACCCAGACAACTCAGCAAGTTGTCTAACTTTTATCTTAGCCTACAATTAAAATTCATTCACTGCAATCACTGATGACAACAATATTTGGAGACCAAGCTACAAAATTGAGTTAATGTGGCCTTTAAGGCATAAATTTCCTGAACCTAACTCTGTTCTTGTGCATTTTTGGAGGACAATATATATGCTATGTGAAAAAGCATGTCGTTACAGGTGTGCTGATGTATACTGTTGACCTTGGAAATGCAAGTTCTGATAACATTTGGGTATTCACTACACATCAACTGTTCCTCATGTCTAGACCAACCTAGAAACACTCGTATGCACATATTTAAAGGAACAGTCGCTCTTCAAACATGTCATGTGGCCCCCCTTGTGCTCTGAGCTCTCCCTCCCCATCTCAACACACCTGCCCCATCCATCCCACTCTCGCTGATGGAAAACCCTGTCACAGCAATGCCCTGAGCAAGGGCAGGGCTGACGTGAGAACACTATAGGGTAATGGCACTCATTGTCAGCCATTCTTCTGTCTGTAATGCATAGAATTTGATGCTCTCATTTCATTTTATATGTGTATATGCCTTCTGAAAATCACACAAGCTCCTGAGTAGGCATAATTTGCAGTTAATGGGAATCAATTCTACCCAAAGGAATCTCAAATTTGGAGGTGAAGTCTCTCAGGATAATTTTTGAGATCTTCACTTCACTGCATTAAGACATTTCAGCATTTTAGGTCATGGCTCAGTCTGTTCTTAGGCTTTTAGTGAAAAAGCATTTTTAGACATACATTCTACAAGACAGAGCATCTTTTTAAGCATAATAGATACATTATATTTTAATCATGCTTTTTATAATGACTGCTTACCTGTTAGCTCATCCTTAGGTACACACAGCTATAAACATATATGGTCATCCCTTGATATCTGTAGGGGGTTATTTCCAGGACCCCCGTGGACACCAAAATCCAAGAATCCTCAAATCCCTTATATAAAATAGTATGCTGCTTAATGTAACCTCCCATATACTTTAAGTCATCTCTAGGTTATTTATAATAACTAATACTATGTAAATAGCTATTATACTATATCATTTGGGAAATAATGGCAAAAGCTATACAGTACAGTTCCAAGTTTTTTTTTTCTTTAATGTTTTCAATCTGCAGTTGATTGAATCTGTTGACACAGAATCCTTACATAGAAAGGGCCAACTTTACTCATGCAAGCATCTATGCATATATTATTTTAGAAGATGAGTGAACAAAAATCACAATTCTGTTGTCAATCATTTGCAAAGGTCGGTAGTTCTGTGATTCAAATAAATAGTTAGCTTTAAACATCCATATAATGTTTGTAAGTATTATTGGAGACTCCATCACTGCCTCATGTTGAAAATGAAATAAGAATAAAGTAAAGGATAGACCTGATAACTCAAGAGATGAGCACAGAGCAGGAGTCCTGGCTCCCAGCCCACCCTCCATCAGCCCCAGGCAATATGTGATAAGTGTTATTTTGAATCCTTTACATTCCCATACAGTTGTAATGCTACCCAGAAGAGTACATTTCAGTGACCTCTAACATAGGAAATATTATATGCAATTTTTTATTATACCTATGTATAAATAGCACACTTCCCAAGCATAGAGTGATATTATGTATCAGAACAAAGATACTCATGAGAAATTTCTTTACACAAACTCCCAAAAGGTGTACAGCATTCTCCTGAGGGAAGCAATGGGAGTCTTTCAAGCCACCTTCTATCATCATTGTCTTTGGAGCACCTATCATGGCACCATGATATTCCTTCCACTCACAGACTAAATGCTTCCACAAAGCATTTATGGCCGTTTACACAGTCTTAGCTCTCCCAGAGCTCTCTGCAAAATAATAATCTAGTAAGCTAGATCCTTTGGACTCCAAATGATGTCCAAATAGCCTTATTAAGCCATTAGGTCCGAGTGGTGTTTGAATGTTGTAAAAAGTATTTTTGAAAGAATCAAAAATGTGATGACTGTGGGGCTAGGGACTGGGACATAATCACTTTCATAACCATCTTTTGTCTCATTCTTGTGGCATTTGGCAGAAACCCTACGTGTGCAAAATCCCAGGCTGCACCAAGCGTTACACAGACCCCAGCTCCCTCCGGAAACACGTGAAGACCGTGCATGGCCCTGAGGCTCATGTCACCAAGAAGCAGCGTGGGGACGTGCATCCTCGACCCCCACCCCCGAGAGATTCTGGCAGCCATTCACAGTCCAGGTCCCCTGGCCGGCCGACTCAGGGAGCCCTCGGGGAACAGAAGGAGCTGAGCAACACTACCTCAAAGCGGGAAGAATGTCTCCAAGTGAAGGCAGTCAAGGCTGAGAAGCCCATGGTATGTCATTCATTCTCCTGCTTTTCCCAGACTGACCTAGGAAAAGGAGTCCATCAATGGACTCCACAGAGCATGTGGAGGGACAAGACTTGACTCCCTCCTCGCTGCATCAGGCCATTCTGATTTGAGGGGGTCATGAGCCTAGTGACCTGGATTGCTCACTCAAAGTTGTTTTGCTTCGAATAACTAATTAGAAAAGAGTTTCCAAGTCTCCTAGCTGATTTGGAAAATTAATCCAGAGCCACACCACTTGTAGCAGGCCAAGACAGACTATCTATCTCTTCATTGTACCTTCAGTATTAAAAATCATTCACTGAGTCTTTATGTAAACATGTTTTCTGTCTTTTTTGGCCTGGTGACCCCAAGATAAATAAGCTAAAGTCTGTATTCATTCAGGGTTTTACAGTCCAGTGGGATATACAGATTGAAAAACAAATACTTATCACTCAGGGTGATGGGTGCTTAAACACAAGTCTTTGTGAGGAGTGTACAAGAGAGAATTTGACTATCAGCCTGCTCCAAGGGCAGAGGCCATGAGGATCAGTGCTCAGACAGAGAAGAGCAGGTCTTGAGGGAGGCGGGGAAGGCAGAGAGGCACCAGCCAGGGGCCCACAAGATGCACAGGAGCAAAAGGAATGAAAAGGGGGAGGCTCATTTAGCTGGTGACAGAGAAGGGCACAGGAGGGTGCACATTGAGAAACAGTCACTCCACTATCAGACTGAAGATTGAGCAAACCCAAGACCATTTCTGCCTTTGTGCCTAGACCCCGTTGTAGAGAACAAGGAATATTTTTTAAAAATTCTTCTAGGTAAACACCATTTGGATTCCGTGATTAATAGAATATGTGGACCATGCAGGTCTTTCAACTGCTATCAAACTTCACTTGGTGACTTTGCTTCATGTATGCGCTTTGATAAAACACCTAAAAGTCCCAAAATGATAAGAAAAATTAAAACGACAGGTATTAGAGGAGGTTCAGTACATTTATATTGGTTGTGTAAATAATGGACTTAACTATGTGAATATTTTGGGATATAATCCATCACTCTGACCTGTGGAGGAAATGTATCAGAGAAAAGTCACATACGTAGACTTCTGGGCACATGCAAGCACTCAGTTTAAGGAAGCATTTCTTTAATTGAAGAAGTTCACCAATTAGATGGGCATGGTATGAATTCATGAATGGAGTGAGGACATGGGACAGCAGGTGTGTGGGCAGGAAATAAAGCGCATACCACTGTAGCATTGGCAGGGTAGGACGCTACATCATAATGAAGGACCAGGTTTGTCTTTGAACTCTGAGGAGTCTTAGAAAGTGTAATTAAGTCAAGCTAGAAATAAGGCAGATAAGTTACCCAACTTTACCTAATTTCTCAGTGTATAAATGTATTTTCCCTTTATAAAGCATCTTAATACATACTAAGCTTGTGTTGTTAATCACTATTTTTAACTATTCAGAACTGTATTTTATAAACATTTCTTGGCGGTGAGGACATACGTCTTTCCTGAAATAAGTCCCACCTGTATAATAGTTGTCCAGAACAGACAACAGTTTACCACCAAGTGTTTAATGCAACAAGGAAAGTGAGTCTGATCTCCCAGATTATGTCATCAAAAGACCATGATTTATGTTCTTGGAACATCCTAAGGACTCAGAGCCTCTGATTCCCTTAATGTGTATCCCTAGCTCAAGAAAACTTGTCCTCTTCTCTCCAAACACACATTGTTGAAAAACAAATTTGGTAGAAATAAAAATTTATAGCTATGTGCCCAATGTGTGAAATATTTTACAAACTAATTAAATCATAGGAACATAGAGGTAAAGGAGGTCACAGAGATCAAGACTGGGTTCCATATTCACAAGTGAGGCAATTGAAGCCCCCTGAGGTTAACAACACAATCACATTTCCATGGTAGACTGTGTCTATATGGACCCACACATTTAAGTATAGTAGATATCCACATAAATATTTTACTAATGGGCATGAAATCTGCATTTCTAATATTTTTTCTTTAAAAACATGTCTTTGCTTTGATCATCATGCTATAAATTAAATTCTTTCTTCTTTTTTTCTTATTAATGCAACATCTCTTCTGTCTAATGCCCCTAAACGTCTTGTTCTCACTTCCTAAGGACAGTGGGTAATAAGGTGAGGGAATGTTGGCTTCTCTGTTCTTTTTGTTGGGTTTTGTTTTCATTTCAACATTCAGTTTTGTTTTTCATTTCATTTTTCTTTAGTTTTTGTGGCTTTGTGATATTTTGGGTAGCAAACATTACTCACTCTGTTTCAAATACAGAAGCAATGTGCTTTGAACATTCAGCATGTGGGAAATGTGGAGTTAGATAGTGAAATTCATTGTTCTATTTGTCAAGGTTTTCATAATAATTTAGCCTGGGGATGACCAAGCAGATGTTCTTAAATTCTATTTAATTACTGTACTGACTAGTATAAATTTATTCTCAGACCAGATATGCACCACCTTCATTGAGGAAGATCAAGATATTTGTTGTTAACATTCTCAGTCCAAGAGTGAGAGGCCTCTAAAGCTCTGGAAACTCCAATTCCTTGGGAAAGAGCAGGTGGTCTAGCAATCCAAGACTCTGCTGAGGCAAAAAATAAAGCAAGGCTTCACATACTCATGATGAGATTTGCATCTCTTCTTTCCCTCTGCTTGGTTGCCCAGAACGAAGTTAGTGTACCTTGTGGCAGGCACTTGCTCACAAAGTTCGTTTTCTTGGATGTATGTGCTGTGATGGCAGAAAGAGCATGGGCCTTCCCCAGAAAAGACCTACTTTACAAACCCCTTCCTGACAGCACTCTGCGTCCCATTGAGACTAAGTCATCTCCCTGAGCAAGTGTATTTTCTCTCCCTGGAAGTATTCTCTTTTGACTGCTATCAGTACCTCAAATTTTTATAGGAACCCTGGAGAAGGTGCTGAAGAGGCATAAAAGTAGTTGGCTTAAGAGTCTAAACTGGTTGGACCATGACCTTTGTGACTCTGAGCCGTCACTAAACTTCTCTGAGAAATCACTTTTCTTATTCATACAAAGATGATTTGACTGTTCATCAACTAGAGCACCATGGAACTTTAGATGAATCAGTTCTATGGTGTGCTGGCTGTCTTGTACATTACAGGCCTATTTGTAAAGTGCTCGCAGATGCTGGGATGGTTAGGCCTCCACCATCAAGGTGGGCAAAGTTGGTGCTTTCCCTGATTGAAAACCAGTGAGCTAGATTAAGTTTCCTTTAGTTGCAGAATTTTCTTACAGCATCTACTTGGTTGGGGTTAGAGGAGTCTTCCCAAATTCTCCTAGTGAAATGCTAAGGGCACACTAAGGGGAATGGTTTAATCACTACACAGACTCAGGATTCTATGAGTTGTAGTCTTTTTTCCCCTCCTAGCATAGCAGAAACAAAGTGATTGATGTTTGACCTCTGACAACTGCCTAGGATCCCCCACCCTGGTAGAGGGTCTATAATGGCAGGAAAAGGTAGAAAGAAAAAAAGATTATTTGAGTGGCCTAGAAGGGAACATATTGGTAAGGAGGTAATGTGTCCTACAGAGTATATCCTAGATTTATGTTATAACCGAGAAAAATGAGCCCTGAGACTAATAACACTTGGAACAAAAATAACTACTAATGCCTCATGAGATAATTCTCTTATTACCCAAATCTTTTTATACTTGTGTGCTCCCTGGACTTCACTAATGTGATTCTTTAACATAAATTGTACCCATTTTATAGATAAGGAAACTGATTGTGAGTGGCTAAGTAATTTACCCAAAAAATTAAGTGCTGGAGGTGAGACTGGAAATTAGGTAGTGTGTTTACAGAGTTAGCACTTGGAGCAGGATTCCATGGCTGATATGCTGTCACACCACATGTAGTATTCTCTGCTATCCATTGCCTGCCTCCTGCACATCACCCTGGTGGACCATCCATGGTTGTGGCCATAAACACCACCTCCATCCACCAACACATATTTTTTTCTTTTCATTCAATCCACTGACATCCTGAAGGTCTTCATGTGCAAGAGCTGTCATTAATGGCTCCCATTCCTTTACTCTTCCTGGTGACGTTCCTTTCCTTTTGTTTCCTCTTGACCCCCTGCAGACATCTCAGCCAAGCCCTGGTGGTCAGTCTTCATGCAGCAGCCAACAGTCCCCCATCAGCAGCTATTCCAACAGTGGGCTCGAGCTTCCTCTGACTGATGGAGGTAGTGTAGCAGACCTCAGCGTCATCGACGAAACCCCAATCATGGACTCGACCATTTCCACGGCAACTACAGCCCTTGCTTTGCAAGCCAGGAGAAACCCGGCAGGGACCAAATGGATGGAGCATGTAAAACTAGAAAGGCTAAAACAAGTGAATGGAATGCTTCCACGACTGAACCCCATTCTACCCCCCAAAGCCCCTGCGGTCTCTCCTCTCATTGGAAATGGTGAGTCCCACATCAACATGTGCCTGCTCAGCTGTGTTTCTGTTCTCTTAAATGCAGCCAAAACACTGTGAGAGGAACTGGGCCCTCAGTTTTAGGCTTGCTAATTCACCAATCCTAAGATTATGTTTTAACCCCCCATATTAATGCCAAACCTGTTTGAGTTGCTTTGCTGGAGGACACACATATTAAAAATAGGCAGTAACAGAATAGTATTAAAACCAAAAGTAAGACTGTGAATGACTCATATTCTAATGGAGAAATCACAACTATTGGACCAGGGTAAGAAAATCTCAGCAGTAGGTATATTTGTAGTTAGCACTCTGTCTGTGGTTTCCAAAAATCTGAAACCAAGGGATTAGCAGCCATTTTTATTTATGCTTTCCCAGTTCATGGAAAGGCAAGCATCCTTTCCCATGGTCAGCCCCCAAGTCAGTTCTTGAGGTGATACTGAATACCTGGATTACTCCAACTACTCAGGTACATAGGATGTGAAATAAACAGGAAACTCTGAGCATAGATGTGAAACTCCTAGAATACCTTCAGCCCATGGATTTACATGGAACTTGAGTACTGTGTATGTCCCAAGAGTCTTTTTGGTCCTTACATTACCTGTAAAGGAATGCAACTAAACTTAGGGAACAGTCATTATTGCTTAACTGCTTAAGCCAGGGAGTTGCAAACTACAGCCTGGGGTCCACACCTAACCTCCAGCTGCTTTCATACAGAAAATATTATCACCCATAATCCCAGCTGCTCAGGAGGTAGAGGTAGGAAAGCTCAGTTTGGCCTCCTGGGCAGTGTCAGCCAGAGACCCTATTTGAAAAACAAACTAAAATCAAAAGAACTGGAGACATAGCTCAAGTGGTAGAGTGGAGTGGAAGATGCTGAGTTCAAGTCCCAGTACTGCAAAAAAGAAAAAGAAAAGAAAGAAAGAATCAAACAAAAACAGTAACCATGCTACAGTCTCTGGGTACTTGGTAGTAGACTACAGAGTTTAGTTATCAGAGACCAGGGGCCGGCAAGCCAGAAATAGTTACTCCCTGGCCCTTTACTGACAAGGGTCACCCACACCCGGTTTAGGTAGCCTCATCTTCACAACCTCTTTTTCTCCCCACGCCACTTTCTGTCCAGGCACTCAGTCCAGTAACAACTGCAGTCCGGGTGGGCCCGTGACTCTTCTCCCCAACAGAAGCGAGCTCTCTGGGGTGGACCTCACCGTGCTCAACAGGAGGGACAGCAGCGCGAGCACCATCAGCTCTGCCTACCTGAGCAGCCGTCGCTCCTCCGGGATCTCCCCCTGCTTCTCCAGCCGCAGGTCCAGCGAGGCCTCGCAGACCGAGGGCCGGCCCCAGAACGTGAGTGTGGCGGACTCCTACGACCCGATCTCCACCGACGCATCGCGCAGGTCCAGCGAGGCCAGCCAGGGCGACGGGCTGCCCAGCCTGCTGAGCCTCACGCCTGCACAGCAGTACCGCCTCAAGGCCAAGTACGCAGCCGCCACGGGTGGTCCCCCGCCCACGCCCTTGCCGCACATGGAGAGGCTGAGCCTGAAAACCAGGATGGCCCTGCTGGACGGCAGGGAGTCTGGAGTGACGCTGCCTCCTGTGCATCCTCCCCGGAGATGCAGCGATGGAGGAGCCCACAGTTATGGCAGGCGACACCTGCTGCCTCATGATGCACTGGGGAATGGCGTGAGGAGAGCCAGTGATCCTGTAAGGACGGTCTCAGAGAACCTGGCCCTTCCTAGGGTCCAGCGCTTCAGCAGCCTCAACAGTTGCAACACTCCGGGTTTGCCTCCATCGGTGGAAAAGCGTAATTTAGTGCTGCAGAATTACACCCGGCCTGAGGGCGGCCAGCCCCGTCACTTCCATGCATCTCCCTGCCCTCCCAGCATTACCGAGAATGTCACCCTGGAGTCCTTAAGTATGGATGCTGATGCCAGCTTGAATGATGAAGATTTCTTGCCAGACGATGTGGTGCAGTATTTAAATTCCCAGAACCAAGCAGGATATGGGCAGCACTTGCAAAGCACCATCTCGGAGGACAACAAAGTACCCCATGGGCCAAGCGACTTCGACCTGCCTGGGCTGCCAGACAGCCACGCTAGCCAACAGTACAGGTCCCTGGAACAGCCGTGCTCAGAAGGCAGCAAAACCGACCTGCCCATTCAGTGGAACGAAGTCAGCTCTGGAAGTGCAGACCTGTCTTCCTCCAAGCTGAAATGTGGCCCGCGGTCCACCGTGCAGCAGGCTCGTGCCTTTGGGTTATACAACAACATGGTCATCCACCCACAGAATCCATGGAAGGGTGGATCTGGTCCAGTTGGGGGATATCAGACCCTTGGGGAGAATGGCAGCACCTGCAGTGGCCCAGAGCACTTGGCTATCCACAGTGACACGGGAACTGGCCCCAATGGAAACTCCTTCCATGAACAGCTCTTCAAGGCCCAGCAGTATGGGAACTGTCTAAACAGGCAGCCAGTGGCCCCTGCTGCATTAGACAGCGCCTTTGGTGGTGGGATTCAAGGGTCGAAGCTGAAAAGCACCACCATGCAAGGAAATGGGGGTCCCCTGGATTTTGGCCTGTCAGTGGCACCAAATGAGTCAGCTGGCAGCGCAGTGAATGGTATGCAGACCCAAGACCCCATGGGACAAGGGTATCTTGCTCACCAGCTACTCAGCGACAGCATGCCACACCATGGGGCAGGCCGCGCTGGTCAGCAGATACTAGGGCAGGTTAGTGCTACCTCACACGTCAACATCTATCAAGGGCCAGAGAGCTGCCTGCCAGGGACTCAGGACATCAGCAGCCAGCCAGCAGGCCCTGCAGTTGTCAGGGGCTATCAGCCGTGTGCCACCTATGGGGGCAATAGGCGCCAGACTGTGCCAAGGGGCAGCCTCGCTCTGCAGCAAGGACAACTCAGTGACTCGAGTCAGACCTGCAGAGTGAATGGTATCAAGATGGAGATGCAAGGGCAGCCCCCGCAGCTCTGTTCTAATACTCAGAATTACTCTGGTCAGTTCTATGACCAAACAGTAGGCTTCAGTCAGCAAGACACAAAAGCTGGTTCATTCTCCATTTCAGATGCCAACTGCCTGCTCCAGGGGGCCGGCGCCGAAGACTCTGAGTTACTTTCCCCAGGTGCTAACCAGGTGACCAGCACAGTTGACAGCCTCGACAGCCATGACCTAGATGGGGTGCAGATTGATTTTGATGCCATCATAGATGATGGGGACCATGCCAGCCTGATGTCAGGGGCCCTGAGCCCAAGTATTATTCAGAACCTTTCCCATAGCTCCTCCCGCCTCACTACGCCACGCGCATCCCTCCCGTTCCCAGCGCTCTCTGTGAGCACCACCAACATGGCTATCGGAGACATGAGCTCTTTGCTGACTTCCCTTGCAGAAGAAAGCAAATTCCTTGCAGTTATGCAATAGGGTTAGGCAAAAAGGACTGTGAACTTTAGGAGTTGAAAGACTGAACTGACTCTGATTTGGCTGTTTGGTTTTTTGGGGGGTTTATTTGTTTTTTAAAGTTCTCTATGTATTTTAGCAATCTCATCTCACCTGACTGGGATGTGTTTCAAGTATATTCCTTTTATGGAAAAGGACTCTGAAAAACCCTAAGGTATTCTAGGGAGAAACTGTCTTCCATTACAGTTTTGAATCAGTATTGTTACACTCGAACCACCCTCTTTTTTTTAACCTTTAAGTCTGCCCCCTTTTTTAGTAAACCAGTGTAAATGTGTGAATGTGCATGTTCTTTTTTTTGGAAGAGAGGTCATCAAATTAAAGGATTTGACATGCTTCTCTGTTACTACAAGAAAGTAGGAGTTGGTGTGTTTGTGACCAAGGGGTTACTTGTCCAACTTTTAAAATTTTTCTTTGACATATGCTCAATGTTTTGTTTGGGTTTTTTTTTTAATTCCCTCATTGGCATAAGAATCAGAATATACATAATGAGTTTAGGAATCTTTTGTGGGTGCACCATAGCCTAGATAGCAGGTTTTTGTCATGCTCCCCATCCCTAATTCAATTCAGGGTATATTTTCCACAGCTGTGTAGAAGTGGAAGCTTGGGGCCCTTGCAAATGAAGTAGTTTGCTCACAGTTTAGGTTTTAAATTCTTCATGTCCACAAGCGTCTATGGTCAGCTCTCAGTTATCTCCTTTGCCTACTCTCTCTGCCTTCATGAGCATTAGGGGTGTTTAGTGCTGCAGTGAGAGGGAACAGGCAGTTAGTGATACTCAGATGTGTTGCTATTTTTAATCTGTTCTAGTAAGAAGTTAGATAGAGTATAGATTGAAGCAACCAGGTAGAACTGGTTTGGGGAATATTTATGGGTTTGCTGTATTTGTGGATTAGTTCCGTCTCTTTCCCCATTACCATAGATAACTGAGAATTGATTATATATAGATCTAAGTATGTAGGTATTTAAACAACCCCACAACTGGCTGTATCATTAACATTTATTAATTCCCTATAGTAAAGGAGTATTTCTATTCTAAGCACCCTTTTTTAGGGATTTGTAAAACTTAGTTGTAAAAGAAAAGCTAGCATACATTGATACTGGGAATAATTTGCTTCAACCATGTTTAGCATGAGAAAGATATGTAGTAGCTGTTTGGATGCCATTTTTCTTACCCTATCTGTTGAGTTGCTGCATCCAGTCAAGAATTTAAATGTTATATACAGTTAGTCCTTAACATGGACTGGTATCTATACTTTTGTCTTGGGTTAAAATATTTAAACATTTAAAAAGTACAGCTACTTCCCATGTGCAATTGATACACATAAAAGCCATACTATGTGTTCACAAAGAGTACATGGAATCTCCAGCATATTGCTTTTAAAAATATGTAAATTACTGAAATAAAATATTAACATCTCAAGGTACCTGCTGAATTCTGTCCCCATTAGCCCCTGGAAGTAGGAGTTTTCTGAAGTGATTCCAAATTCAATTGAGTGACTTTTTCCAAAAACCTTAGTTCCTGCCATTTAAATTAGTAGAAAGACAAAATTCAAGTAAAATAGTGTTAGATAATAGGAAGAATGTTAGGACCAGTCTGTATTGCTCATGCTTATTTTCTCTTATTTGGACCGATAATCTCAGCAAGGAGGTAGATTTGCCATTTAGGAACTGTTAAGTGAAGACTGTTGGGTTTGCTTTCAACTAGATGTTCCTGAGACCAACAGAGTAATGCTGCAAAGTCCTCCATGTCCTGCTGTCCTTCCCCAGGTAGCACCTTTTAAACCAAAGGATGTATGCCCTTGAAACCACCCACAAGCAAAAGAGAACTAATGATCCAACTCAAGACAGTAGAATCTCTACCACTTTTCAGCTGACCTGTTCCTCGAACAGGTCACCTTCTCCTCACAAAGTCAGTGATCTGTTCCCTGAATCTCGTTTTTCCATGAGGTTCACAATCTCCTTATCCCGGTCTTATCTTACCTCCTCTTATGGTTTAGAGCAGTCTTAGTCTTGGTTCAGAACATGGGACTGGGGTGTTCTCCACTCCTGAGCAAGAAGCATGGGCCTCAGCCACACTGAACTACTCCAGCAAGATCTTTTCCCAGTAGAATCCATCATGTGACCTGCATTTCTCAATTACTATGACTTCCTGCATCAACTTTGTTCTTCTAGAAGGACAGATAGTGATGAGGACCAGCACCATTGTCATACATTCTGCTTTTTTCTCTGGTTTCCAAAAATTTTCTGGGTTTTATTTCCTTTATTTTTCTTCTTCATCCTTGTTTTGTGGATGCTGCCTTCATATCTGCAGGAGACATGTTTTCAGCCCAGTGTTTGGCTATTCTCAATAAGGAAATTTCAGAAGGAGGGAGGAAAGAAGAAAGTGTACTTGCCCAAGACTTCAGTGATGCTGGATAGTTCAGTGGAAGAAAGGTCTTTTGGTCACTTAAAAAGATCCCATGTGGACATGGGATCTCTGTACACCTAGCATATCATGACATGGGACCCACCCATAGCCTCCAACCTCCATTTCCCTAACCTATGCATTCAGAGAGAGCACCGACTCACTAGTGTTGCCATTTACTCTTTTAATTTAAAAAAAAAAATGCAGACTTATACATGGTACTCTAGTTTAACAACTGTGTTGAACTTGTTTTTATTTTTCAAACCATTTTTGTTTTTCTAAAGAGCGAATTAAATCACCCCCCCCACACCTCACACATTGATTTGTTCTCTTGAGCCACAGAGTTTTGATTCGTGTGATGTATGTGCCTTATTTTCTGTTAATCTTGTCAATGAAAGGGACCAGTTGGGGTTGCCTAGTCAGTGCTCCAAGGCCATGTGCCTGATGGCCAGCGAGCAAGGGATCAAGCACATGACCGTAGCAGAGTCTGAGCTGTCTTGTAACCACCTGGTTTCCTGTGTTGTTTTAAACTGATAGGAGGATTTTTTTTTTCTGACAATTTACCCTTGTGTATCCTGCAAATGTGTAAGATAAAATACAAGTTCATTTTTTTCACCTTTTTTAGATTTTTAAAAAATAAAATGTGTAATCCTTTTTAAAAAGAAACACATGTAAATACATTTAAGTATCGTAGACCTAGTGTTCGGATGTGACCAGCCCCGGGTCTTCGGAAAAGCCTGCAGTCAATAGGTGCTCGGTGCTGGCCTCAAGCCTGGAGGGGGGCGGAGGGGGGGGGAGGCTGCAGCCCAGACACAGATGAACTCAATCTTGGCTTTCAGAACCACTTAGACCTTTTGTAACAAAGAAAAGAAAAAGAAAAAAAAAAACAATGTTTCTTACAATGTTAATAAACTCTTTGTACTGAAAATTTTTATTGGATTGTGTATTTAATTCATAGCTGAATCCCATGTTTGGATCCAGACCCAACACATATAAGCTAAGTGGACTTTTGCTTTGAGACCCAAATTCCACAAATGGAGACTAAGATGCACCAGCTCATGTCACTTGTAATTAATGTGTCTTGTATTTTTACTGTTTTCCCAAACCGGAAGGAAAAGTGATAATAGGTTTAACGTCTGACAGCTCAGCTATTCCCTCTTTTGTGTACTCTCCTTTCATCTCAGAGATTCCTTAACACATTAACAGAAAATCTCATGTGAGAGCAGCTTAGTTTTATGTGGCTCTTAACGACTGACCTCAGTCAGAAGTGTAAGTTGTTTTTTCATCTTCCCTTTCATGTCAGTTTGCAGTATTATTCTCCAGATCACTATCAAAAGCTCCAAAAAAGGTTCCTTTCCTCTTTATGAATAGTGGCCCGTCTTTTTTTTATTTTTATTTTTATTTTTTTATTATTCATATGTGCATACAATGCTTGGGTCATTTCTCCCCCATGCCCCCACCCCCTCCCTTACCACCCACTCCGCCCCCTCCCTCTCCCCGCCACCCCCTCAATACCCAGCAGAAACTATTTTGCCCTTATTTCTAATTTTGTTGAAGAGAGAGTATAAGCAATAATAGGAAGGAACAAGGGTTTTTGATGGTTGAGACAAGGATAGCTATACAGGGCATTGACTCACATTAATTTCCTGTGCGTGTGTGTTACCTTCTAGGTTAATTCTTTTGGATCTAACCTTTTCTCTTCTAGTGGCCCGTCTTTTGAGCCACCAGCTTAGAGTTGTTACTGGGAAGAATGAGGGTATTGCCTGTGGCTACCTCAAGGCCATGAGGATAGAAATAGCCCTTGTGCAAGTACACACACCTGCATATGCATGTGTACACACACACACACATGCACTCACAGACACAACAGCACATTTTCCCAGGGTCACTTATGTCCTGTGAGAGATGAATGCTTCCTCTTCTGTACCCTAGCAAAGTTTCTCCCACCCTGGGGATGCATCTTGCTACCTGATTCACAAGGGAGCACTTCCTGCCGTCGATCGAAACTGCTTTTCTTTCATAAGCAGATCTCTCACATAAGGTGTCCAAATGAATTCAGGGGAAAAAAAAGAAAACATGAATTTATACCCTGCCTCAGATATAAATTGTCAGCTCATGAAGATATGAATCATATAACAAGCCAAAACAAAAGAAGTAAAGAGAAATGACACTAATGAAAAGGAGAAGTAGGACAGGGGCTGCCCCAGGAATGAGGTGTATGCTGTAGACTTCTTTAATCCCCATGAGCTGACAGTGAGGATGGCTCATGGCTTTTCTTTTAAAAATACCTCCTGTGAGGAAAGATGAAGGAAACAAAATTAGGTCAAATGAGAGAGCTATAATCTATTTGTTATTCACCTATTTTTAGTAATTTGGGAAATTTAAAAACATGTATTACTCAAATAAGAATACAACAGGAGAATGCTTAAATAAGAGAGAAAGTAACCCACTGTTAAGAATTCATCTTTTCTTTCTCCAAGGTTTTCTATTTTTATTTGCTATTCCAAACATACCCTGACTTTGTCTTTTCTTTAATATTAGCTTTTTTTTAAATCCCATTTTACCAACATAGATTTTTATGCCTTCTCCATCTAGTTAACAAATCTCTTGACAATTTTTAGAAACAATAGAATCTAATTTCTTTGCAGGCATTTTTCTTTCCATATGTTTTGTAGTCACAATACAAAATACTCACCCAGCAGTGTCCCCGGGATTTTCTCACCTCTTCCTGAAACATCAGCTTCTTCACACACTGCTCTGTTCTTCCTGAGTACCCAGAGAGTGGTAGATTATGATGGTCCCTGTCCTCGGGGCTTTACAACATCTGGGGACAGACAATGAGGACATAATCCATGAATTCAACAATGCTGTCTGGATACCTAGTGTCCTATTATAAGGACTAGAAATGGAAAATGTGAAAGCACAGAGTGTTCACAAATTTCCAGCCCA